TGACATTACCAGGGCTATCTTCTGTTGACCCAGTGGATGTAGGGGGCTGCTGTACTCAGCACATGAGCATGATTATGTCCACACTTCCCTGTGTATTCTGAGTATGGAAGAGGCCTTGTGGACAATGTCTGTCTTCCGTTTCCTTGGAGACAGGACTGTTAACTGTGTGCTTTGTGTGGCCAGTCTGTGTTTCCCATACCCTGCTGCCTCCAGCTACTGATTCTTCCCTGGTGCTCACTTTGAGGCTTCTTAGGCTGGACCCATCAGTAGCATCCTATTGTCCGTGTGGGACCCAGACCTGGGCTCAGTGTTCTGGTGTGATCTCTCAGGCTTTCTGTGGGGCTTCTGTGTATTTTCTGATATGTTGTTTTCTGCAGGATAATGAGCGCTGGGAAACGAATCGCATGCTGACCAGTGGTGTGGTTCATCGGATTGAAGTGGACGAAGATTTTGAGGAGGATAACTCTGCTAAAGTGCATCTGTTGGTGCACAACCTGGTGCCCCCTTTCCTGGATGGAAGGATTGTCTTCACCAAGCAGGTAGAGACTGTGGCTGAAGGTGCTGGTGGCAAGGAACCCCACAAGTGTGAGCTCTCTGTACTGAAGCAGTACCTCTTTCCTCTAGCCAGAACCAGTCATCCCTGTGAAGGATGCCACCTCAGATTTGGCCATCATAGCCCGGAAAGGCAGCCAATTGGTGCGCAAGCACAGGGAGCAAAAGGAGCGTAAGAGGGTATGTTGTGACCTCTTGGCTTACTACCCCTCTGTGCATGCGTTACGTAGTGCCTCACAGCCTTTGCTTGGACTTTCCAGAATACAGGTTTTGGCAGCAGTGATGATAAGGAGTTCATATTTTTATGACTTGGGCAATCATAGAATCCCAGACTGGTTTGGATTGGGAGGGACCTTAAAGCTCATCCAGTTCCAATGCCCCTGCCATCAGCAGGGACACCTTCCACTAGACCAGGTTGCTCAAAGCCTCATCCAACCTGGCCTTCAACACTTCCAGGGAGGAGCAGCCACAGCTTCTCTGGGCAACCTGGTCCAGTGTGTGTCACCACCCTCACAGGAAAGAATTTCTTCCTAATGTCTAATCTAAACCTGCCCTCTTCCAGTTTAAAGGCATCACTCCTTGTTCTATCGCTACCTGCCCTTGTAAAAAGTCCCTCCCCAGCTTTCTTGTAGGCCCCCGGCAGCCCAGCTCATTGCATTGTCTCGTGAGCAGCTGCTCTGATGATGTGATTTCCTCAGGCACTGCCTGGGATAATGAGTTGCTGTGCACTGGTGCAGAGGACTCTGATCCAAAGGACGTTCAGATCATGGGAGAAGAGAGCAGGTGGAAGAGTGCAAGGTAGCTTGGGGACAGTCAGCAGTCAGTATGGTGGCAGGATATATTTTGTCATGTCTCAGCAGAAGACTTGTGAGGAGGAGTATGCAGTAAGGCAGCATATTAGTTTTTGGGGGTGTTTTCTAGGAATTTTGCTAAAGCTCATGTAATAGCTGTGGGGAAAGCACAGATGAGTTCCTTGTAAATTGAAACTGAGCTGTATTTGAGCTCAGTTTGAGTGGTATGAGTGGAACAGGTGCAAGCTAGACTGATACTGGAGGCGAGAGCAAACAGGAAAGTGGGCGAGAGGTCTGTGAGCACCTGTCAAGAGCAAGAAGATTCTCTCCGGTTCAGATTTGTGTTAGGTTTAAGTTCAAATTTAATGGAAGGGTCAGCAGCTGGAACTATTTTCTTAGGAGGCAATTGGTCATTCTGTGCCTGAAGTCTCTGTATCCAGACCACTGTCTAAAAGCTCTGCTCCAGTTCCCGTGGCGGAGGGAGACTTGATGTAGGAATGGGATGTGCATTCCGTGTTGTGGCACTGGGGAATTGTGGGCTAATAGCTTTTTTCGTCTTATGGGTAGGATTGGAGGAGAAAGATTTGTCAGTGCTTGCTGTGGCAATGTTATGGTGCTCTTTTGTCCTTCCAGGCTCAGCATAAACACTGGGAGCTGGCAGGCACAAAACTGGGAGACATTATGGGGATCAAGAAAGAGGAGGAGAAGGATGAGATGGTGACAGAAGATGGCAAAGTGGATTACAAGTAGGAGCTTGCTTTGAATTATTCCTGCTCAGCTGGTGATGGAGGCTGTAGGCATAACAGAGTGTGTGGAGAGGCAGTTTCAAAACTTCTGGTGTTTCCTTAGAACTGAGCAGAAGTTTGCTGAACACATGAAAGAAAAAAGTGAAGCCAGCAGTGAGTTTGCCAAGAAGAAATCGATCCTGGAGCAGAGACAATATCTGCCCATCTTTGCTGTGCAGCAGGAGCTGCTCTCCATCCTCAGGTAGGGCTCTAGAGAGCTGTCATAGAGCAACTCCATGTTATTTGCCTGTATCTCAGGAACCCAGGTGTGAAGTTCTCCTAAGTACATGGCACATTTGGGAGGTGGACCCTCAGGAAACAAAACCCATTGGTTTGTGTGGTTGGTGGCAGCTCTCCTGTCTGAGCGGGATGACACTTGGGTGGCCAGCCAGGGCTGTGAATGCAAAAGCCCTTCTTTGTGGTGTGTGAAGAAATTCTTTTTCCCTTTCTTCAGAGACAACAGCATTGTGATTGTGGTGGGGGAGACGGGGAGTGGGAAGACGACTCAGTTGACACAGTACCTCCATGAGGATGGCTACACAGACTATGGCATGATTGGCTGCACCCAGCCCCGCCGAGTGGCGGCCATGTCGGTTGCCAAGCGGGTCAGCGAAGAGATGGGGGTGCGTCTGGGAGAGGAGGTGAGTCTAGCAGTGGGTGCAGGGGTGCAGCCTGATGACAGTGAGTGCATGGGGCTGTTGGAAGACATGCTGGTATCTCTGCCCCCCCCAGGTGGGCTATGCCATCCGCTTTGAGGACTGCACGTCCGAGAACACAGTGATCAAATACATGACAGATGGGATTCTTCTTCGTGAGTCACTGCGAGAGGCTGACCTGGACAACTACAGTGCTATCATCATGGATGAGGCACATGAGCGCTCACTCAATACTGATGTGCTCTTTGGCCTGCTTCGGGAGGTGTGTGCGAGCCTGGACTAGAGGACAGCAGCACAGGGCACTTGAGCTGGTCTTTAAGCAGAGCATTGTCAGGGACAGTCCTTCTCTACCAGATCTGGCAGAGGGAAGCAGAGTTGCTGCATCTCTGTCTGCACTTACTGCTCCAATGTCCTGGTCCTTGGTTTTGGGGGGTTAAATCTCCCCTTGTGCCTAAGTGCTACCAGAGGCTTGCTGGCTAACTGTCAGGAACTCCAGGTATGGAGATCTTTGCTAACTTAAGGCTTCCTGGACCACGGTCAGCAGGTCTTCTTAACTGCACAGACCATGTAGCATCTCTGTTCCCTGGCATTAGTGGCCAGTGCCTCTAGAGTCCAGCAGAAACTCTGTCCTATGCTGTTGTCTCAATAAAGATGGAAGCACCCTGCAGCCATGCACAAATGCCCCTTCCTTACTGTTCCTTTCATCTGCTCTCTAGGTGGTGGCCCGACGCTCAGATCTGAAGCTTGTTGTCACTTCGGCCACCATGGATGCAGATAAGTTTGCCTCCTTCTTTGGGAACGTTCCTATTTTCCACATTCCTGGGCGCACTTTCCCTGTTGATATTCTTTTCAGCAAGGTATGCTCAATGTTGCAGAGGGAGGTTCTGTTGTGACAGAAGGGGGTTGTGACTTGGATGTACTGTAGTCTGTGGTGGAGAGAAGATGGAAGAGGAGTAGCTGTGCTATGATGCAGCCTTCCACGCAGGACAAGGCAGGTGAGATTATTGGTGTCTGTAACCTGGGCTGTGCCTTTCAGACCCCACAAGAGGATTATGTGGAGGCTGCAGTGAAACAAGCCCTGCAGGTCCATTTGTCCGGTGCTCCCGGAGACATCCTTGTCTTCATGCCTGGCCAGGAAGACATAGAGGTAGGCTGTAAGTGCAGGCACTGTCCTACCCTCTTGTTGGTTTAATTTTATGTTTACACCCCTCTTTGTGTCTAGGTGACCTCGGAGCAAATTGTGGAGCACCTTGAGGAGCTGGAGAAGGCGCCTGCTCTTGCTGTGCTGCCTATCTATTCTCAGCTACCATCAGACTTGCAGGCCAAGATCTTCCAGAAGGTGCTGATGTGCGCTCTGTGATAGGAGCGGGGACAGGGGAAACTGGTGCAGGGAAGGCTACTGAGCATGAGTGAGAGGTGCAGACATGCCTTTTGTCTTGCATGTGGCGGGTGAGAGAAAGTGTGTACCCCCCTCAGCTACTCAAGAGTCACCCGTGTCCTTCTGGGTTCTGTACTGCTGCTCTGCACTCTTCCTCAGTGGTGCAAAGGCCCTTGCCCAGGGATCTGACTGACATGCAGTGTGCTTGCAGGCTCCAGATGGGGTCAGGAAATGCATTGTTGCCACCAACATTGCGGAGACTTCGCTGACAGTGGATGGCATCATGTTTGTGATTGACTCTGGCTACTGCAAGTTGAAGGTAAGCCAAGATGTCCTGTGGTGTTTATGTCTGTGATCTCTGGGGTTGGGTTGAGGGAGTTCTGTGGTAGTGATCCAGCCTTCCTCTTCAGTCAGTTCTTCTTGTGCCCTGCAGGTTTTCAACCCCCGTATAGGCATGGATGCACTGCAGATCTACCCCATCAGTCAAGCCAATGCCAATCAGAGGGCAGGCCGAGCTGGCCGAACAGGCCCAGGCCACTGCTTCAGGTAGGCATGTCAGTGCTGTTCCTGTTGTGCCTGCAGCTTGGCTTCAGGTTATATATCTTCTTTTTCTCACCGGAGCTGTTCGTTATCTTGCATCTCTTGGGGGATGAGGGCAGTAGGCAGGCGTTGAGGTCTTCTCTTTTGGACCCAGTGCCTCTGCAGAGGAAAGGATATGCTCTGGTTTCTTTCCTTGCCCGCCTTCACTTGTGGCTGTTCTGCCCTTGGTGCTCTCAGAATAACAGCTGAGCCAAAAGCAACTTTCTCAAGGCTTCGCTTTGAGACTGGTCTGTGCCCAGAGCAGGACTGTGCTCGAGAGGGCTGTACACTGTACTGCAGCCCAGGTGCCCTTATGTGCTGGGGAGGCCAGACTTTGGCCAGGACAGGGGATCCTCCTCGGGGTCCTGCTGGCTGGCCTGGTTGAGCACAGGGTCACTGCCCTGTGCCATGCCTGGCTAGGCTGGGCAGTGGCTGGTGAGTCAGTAAGGAACACGGTGGCCTGAACAGGGGGAACATGCTCTTGGCATCTGTCCCCCAGGCTCTACACCCAGAGCGCCTACAAGAATGAGCTGCTGACAACCACGGTGCCCGAGATCCAGCGCACCAATCTTGCCAATGTAGTGCTTTTGCTCAAGTCCCTGGGTGTGCAGGACCTGCTGCAGTTCCACTTCATGGATCCACCCCCTGAGGACAACATGCTGAACTCCATGTACCAGCTGTGGATTCTGGGGGCCCTGGATAACACAGGTACAGGCTGCTGGGGCAAACTGTCAGCCCATGGGGCTGGGACCTGCCCAGCTGCTGATCCCTGTGCTGTTCCTGCAGGTGGTCTGACCTCAACAGGACGTCTCATGGTGGAGTTCCCACTGGATCCTGCACTCTCCAAAATGCTGATTGTCTCCTGTGACATGGGTTGCAGCTCTGAGATCTTGCTCATTGTCTCCATGTTGTCTGTGCCTGCCATCTTTTATCGGCCTAAGGTACTGTTTGCTCTTTCAGCAGGTTGGGGCCCTCCCTGCCCTGTAGGGTTTCTAAGAGCAAATGGACATTCTGAAGTTGATCAAGTATTATAACCATTCTAACCAAGTGTGTGTAATAATTTTTTATCAGTTTAAGAACATATAGTTATAAGTTAAGCTTTAAGTTTATGGGTTGTATTTTTGTTACATTCTGATAAGTTATAAGTTAAGCTTTATTTTTGTTAAATTTGTTAAGTTTTAAGTTAAGGATTAAGTTTATGGTTTGTGTTTTTGTTAAGTACTGATAAGTTATAAGTTAAGCTTTAAGTTTTTCTGTCTCTAAAAAGAAAAGAGGAGAATTGTGGGGGGTGTGGGAACGTGTATTGGCACACCCTGAGAGAACTGTGGGAACTGAAGGGATACATGTCTGGAGAGAGGAAAAGCACCTGTGTGGACAAGGCCTGAGAAAGGAACCTTGGGATGTGCCTAAAAGATGCACCCTGGCAAGCAAACAGGAAGGGATGCAGGCAAAGTCCATCAGCCAATTAGGGGCATGTGAACTGCTCGTGCTGCGAGTGAAGGGCCAAGAACACGTTAACGGGTGTGGGTGATTTCATTAGTTTTGGGGTATAAATATAACTGTATTGGAACAAATAAATGGTTTCCCTTCCTGCTTGATCATATTGATCGTGTGGCAGAGTCCATGATTGAGTTCCCGCACTGCCCTTTGACTAACTAATGTTCTTTGCTTGCCCTTCAGGGCCGAGAGGAGGAGAGTGACCAAGTGCGGGAGAAATTTGCTGTTCCAGAGAGTGATCACTTAACTTACCTGAACGTTTATCTGCAGTGGAAGAACAACAACTATTCTACATTGTGGTGCAACCAGCACTTCATCCATGCCAAAGCCATGCGGAAGGTGAGGCTGTGTCAACGAGCCTGGGGGAGGGAGCCTTATGCAGGAGAGGGATCCGAATGCAACTCACCTTTGCAGGTGCGGGAGGTGCGTGCCCAGCTCAAGGACATCATGGTGCAGCAGCGGATGAGCCTAGCATCCTGTGGTACTGACTGGGATGTTGTCAGGAAGTGCATCTGTGCTGCCTATTTCCATCAAGCTGCAAAGCTAAAGGTGAGTGGTGTCTGTGCTAGTCTTGGGGCTGAGAGGCCCTGCCTGGGAACAGGAGGGCTAACCACACTTCTCTCTGCAGGGCATTGGGGAGTATGTGAACATCCGCACAGGCATGCCCTGCCACCTGCACCCCACGAGCTCTCTGTTTGGCATGGGCTACACACCAGACTACATTGTGTATCATGAGTTGGTCATGACCACCAAGGTGAGCTTGAGCTGAGGGCTAGCAAGAAGGGTGAGGAGTGCTCTGAGAGAGGGGGGAGGGCTTTCCTGTGATGCTAGGATTTCTCAGAAGGGCAATTCTTAACCTTTCTCATCTATACTAACAAAGGCATGTCTGTGTCACCTGCAGAGTCCTGTTTGTCCCTTTACCAGTATTTTTCCCTGGCATAGGTGGGACTTGTTTGAACCTCTTTGCGGTCTTACCCAGGCCAGTCCATAGCAGATTCTGAGGGCAGGAGGAACTGTCTGGAAGGGGCATAGTCCCAGCCTGAGAAAGGCCATCAGCAAGTGGGGGAGGAAGGGAGCTGCCAGGGCTCTGTAAATGGTGCCCAGGCCCTGAGAGCACCACCTTACTACCCTGGTCTGTCCTGTTGCTGCAGGAATACATGCAGTGTGTCACTGCTGTGGATGGAGAGTGGCTGGCAGAGCTGGGCCCCATGTTCTACAGTATCAAACATGCTGGCAAGTCACGCCAGGTGAGTCTCCTGTCCGGGCCAAGCTGGCAGACAGCCGGGCCACTGCCTGCCTGTTGTAGTGCTGTGTATGTGGGTGTGTGTGTGTGTGTTTGACATGGAGGGCACCTGCTGGCCAGTCCTTTGCCAGTCACTGACCTGCTGCTGCTTTGCTGCAGGAGAACCGCCGCCGTGCTAAGGAGGAAGTGTCTGCCATGGAGGAGGAGATGGCTTTGGCTGAGGAGCAGCTGCGTGCCCGTCGGGAGGAGCAGGAGCGCCGTAACCCACTGGGCAGCGCAAGGTGGGTGCTGGCCCTGCCTGGCTGTGGGTTGCCTGCTTTAAGAGCAGGAGTAGTGAGCTGCATGGAGGATCCCACCTTCCCCACGGGTGTTCTGGTGCAGGGAAAGGTTGTATCTCCCACTCATGACCCTTGTCCTCTCCTGGCAGATCTACTAAAATCTACACCCCTGGGCGGAAGGAGCAGGGGGAGCCCCTGACACCACGACGCACCCCAGCCCGCTTTGGCCTCTAGGAAGGCAGTGCCCGTTGCTTTGAGGCTTAAAGACTGCCAGGAGCAGCTGAGTCTTAGGAGAGTGCCCAGCTCCTCTGACCACTCTCCTCTGTGAGGCTCTCTACAGCTTGTGGCCTGGGAAGGCTTTGGGGCTTGGCACTGATTTTGTTACGGAACAGAAAGAATTTTATTTGTTTAAAGGTTGGTTGGTTGTTGGTCTAATCCTGGATTTGTTTTGTGCTACTTCTTGTCCTGGAGGCGAGTGCTGGGTGGAGGCAGCTGGCTGGTGCTCTCAAGTTGTTGGCCTGTAGAGCATGGGACAAGGCACAGAATTACCTGGCCCTGGCCCCTTGGCCTATGCTCCTGCCAAGGCAGTTCTCCCACCACCCATGCCCTGGGCAGGGAGTGGGTGCCCAGCTGTCCCTGTACACACCAGACCATAGGCCCAGCCCTGTTTCAGGCCAGGCTGTGCCAGGAATTGTGCTCACCTTCAGCTGCTCACAGTGGCCGTGCTGCTCACATCTTCTGAGGGCGAGGTACATCTTTTCCTCCTGCACCCTGCCCAGTGTCACTTAATGATGCCTGGAGGAAAGGCAGGGGAGATGAGGTGATGCAGTGGTGCAGACAATCCTGCTCTGCTGGCCTTGCAGGAGGTTGGGTAGTCCAGCAGTGTCCGTCTGTCCCATACAGCCCTGCTGGCAGCAGGAACTCCAGTAAGGCTTCTTGCTCACATCTGCTCCTTCGCACACTGGCTGATGTTGTGCAGCACCAGCTCCCTCTGCTTGTGTGGCCTGCGGCTGTCAGAGAGTGCCAGGATGTGGGAAGTGCGCAGGGTTGTCATCTGTGTGAACCAGCATGTGACTGATCTTCCCAGCCTCTGTGTGCCTGGGGCTGAAGGCAGTTGGAGGAACCAACCAGCCTTGCACTGCCCTTGCACCCCCTCCTCTCTGTGCCACTCCCCTGCGCTGAGCTCTCAGAGGAGCTGTTGACCACTTCGACTGAGGCCATTGCTCCATGTTTCTCCCTGTCCAAAAGGGTAAACATAACAGGAGCAAGTTGTTGGAAATGAAATTTCTCTATGCCTTTCCCTGTCTATGCGGCTTCCCAGCACAGAGCAATAGTGTTTAGACAGCCAAGGAGACATTTTTCCCTCTTAAAGCACCAGATCAATAGTGGGGAAAAAAACCCCAAACCCAACCCTCTGTGTCTCTGCACTATAGTAAATGTGAAGCCCTCGGGCCCAGGGCCACCCCAGCAATGTGACTGCAGTGGCTGTGGGGGGTGGGTGCCTGTGCAGTGTGGCCCCTCTGCTCTGCACAGCACACATGGGGCACAGCTGGCAGGCCACACCGCAGGGGCACATCCTGGCAGGGCTGCAGGCCACGAGCCCCAGCAGCTTCTTGGGGTAAGCACAGCACCTATGGGTGAGGAGAGGCTCTGAGGAGGGAGATGAGCCTGGCTGCCAGCCTGGCTGCTGCTGCTGGGGGAGTTGACAGAAACCCACCTCAGCAGGCACATGTGCAATGCCGACCTGCTGGGGCGAGGGCAAGCAACTTTGCCAAAGGGCAGTCCTACAGGAAACCTCCAGCCAGGGCGGAGGAGAACGCTCAGGCAGTGCACAGGGGGTGGACTCGTGCTGGCAGGAGGAATCAGTCTACAGTCTTGGTGGGCAGTGACCTCACACTGGTTCCTGGGGCCCAGGAGACCAGCCCCAGGAATGGGGCTGCACAGTGATGCTGCTGGCCATGCCTGCCTGTGCCACAGGGCCCCGGTGCTGTCCCTCTCGCTGATGCTCAGCGCAGCTTCCCAGGTGAGGATTTTATCTGGAAATTTCCAAGGCCAAGCTGGGCCCAGAAGGTGAATGCAGATGCACCATAGTAGAAATCCTCGGTTGCCATGACGATGTGCTCCACTAGCAGTGCCAGCCATGGCTGTGGGAGCAGGCGCAGCACCAGCAGTCCTGCCAGCACTGCCGCTTCACCCCCACCATGCAGAGCACCACTGAATTCAGCACTAATTTCTGCTGGTGCAAGGGAATAAATTTCCCTGCAGATTTCAGTCTTTCAGGCAGTGGTAGCCAGAGCACAGAGCTTCCACAGCTGCCATCCTCTGCCTTGGTGCTCTGTCACGGGCTTACTGCTGCTTTAATTAAAGCTGGCTGTCCTCTCTGGCAGCCCCCTGCATGTAGCACACATGCTGGGACTGAGCCCAGAGCAGCCCGCACTGCTCTTCATAGTGCAGCTCTGCCCAGCACACGGCACAGCTCAGCATGGCTTGGCATCGCTCTGCCGTCCCACAGCAGCACGCAGCACTGTGGCCTTTTTGCAGCCACTGCTCATCTGGGCCTTTGCCACCTCATTTTCCCTCGTGACTGGATGCAGCAGCCCTGGCTGTGCCACCAGGCTGCACCTGCTGCCAAGCTGGTTATTGTATGTGCTGTCTGCGCTGCATCGTGCCACACGTGCTGAGCTGTGCCGTGCTGTGCAATGCCATGTTTCACTGTGCAATATCATATAATCATAGAATGGTTTGGGTTGGAAGGGACCTTAAAGATCATCCAGTTTCAACCCCCCTGCCATCAGCAGGGACACCTTCCACTAGACCAGGTTGTTCAAAGTCTCATCCAACCTGACCTTGAACGCTTCCAGGGAGGAGCAGCCACAGCTTCTCTGGGCAACCTGGGCCAGTGTCTCGCCACCCTCACAGTGAAGAACTTCTTCCTAATATCTGATCTAAACCTCCCCTCTTTCAGTTTAAACCCATTTCCCCTTGTTTTGTCATTAAGTGCCCTTATGAAAAGTCCTTCCCCAGCTTTCTTGTAGGTCCCCTTCAGGTATTGGAAGGCTGTTATAAGATCTCCCTGGAGCCTTCTCTTTTCCAGGCTGAACATAAAATATGTGAGGCTGTGACGCATTGTGCCCTGCATGCCAAGCTGTACTGAGCTGTGCGGTGCTGTGTGGACCTGGGCACCTGCTCCTGAAGCCGGGGAGCTGCGGTGGCCTTGTGCACTGCGCCAGTGTTTCTAGAGGTGACTATTGGCCACCTGTGCCTGGGCACGTCTGACTCACTGCTGTACCTGTCCTTGCCTCCAGCTGATGTGCTGCCCATCCTGCTGCCCCTGGGCTAGCTGCTGCGGGGCTACAGGCAGCGCCTGTCTTGGTCGGGGTCAACCCTGCTCCAGCTCCTTGTGAGACTGTGGGGCAGCCCCACAGCCCTGACCTACAGCTGCCTGCCTGCGCTCGTCTGGTGCTGGGAGGACTGGAGGGCCAAACTGGACCCTTGGCTGGGTGAGCCGAAACCACGCAGTGCTGGGCTGGGAGCTGTCTCGCTGTAATTACTGCCATAATGTTATTCTTTTCAGCGCCACGTTAATTGAAATTAAACAGCTGCCACGTTCTGGCTAGGACAAAAGTGAATCTTTTTTTGTTCCCCTCTGGTGTAATGAAGACTGACGTGCTGAGAGAAAACAAAGGCAATCCAGCTGCTGCCTCTCACCAGCACATACGCCAGCAATTACCGGGGATCCCGCGAGCCAGCAGAGATGCCCCAGAGCACCCCACAGCCACCAGCCCCCAGGCAGCCCAGCCCCCGTGTCCTAGGGTGCTCCTGCCCAAAGAGTTTGACTGGGGGGGTGTGGGGGACAGGGTGAACATGTCACAGGGGATGCTGGCACAGGGGCAGCAGGGAGAACAGGGTGCCCAGGCACCAAGTCCAGGCTTTGATCCTGTCTGTTAAGAGGCATCCAGCTGCCAGCTGTGCCCCAGGGCTTCTCCTTGGCCCTTCTGCCCTGCTGAGGTTGTCCTATCCCTGTGGGCTTGGCTGGCTTCAGCCTCCCAACCTTCAGTCACCAACCAGCCCATACAGCCCCAAAGCCAAAGCTGAGGCAGCAGCAGTAGCTGAAGAGGGTGTTTCTCTCCAGCCTTAAGGGTTTTTTTCTGTTGTAGGACTAGGAGCTTGCTTGTGATGCCATTCAGTACTTTAAAGTATGCAAAATGAGGTGCTGGTACAAATCTCATTAACATCCGCCTCCAACATCATTAAGATGTTTCCAAGAAAATTAATTGAGAGACTCATTAAAAATAAATTAAGAAAAATGTGTTGCAGAGCGCCTGCTCTGAGCTCGTAAATCACAGCTCAAAGCTCCAGGCCGCTGTGCAGGCAATTAACGCCAGCCAATTTGTTTTATCCTGACTGTGAAAATTAGAAAGAAGACATGGAGATTAGATTAGGGATGTCTGTCAAGCGGAACTCGGAGTGAATATTTTAGGATACAAAATGGAAATCAGGAAAACAAAGCGGGGACTTCATTCGGAAGAAGGCAGAGGTGGGGAGGCAGGAGAGAGATTTAGAGATTTTTCTGTTTCAAGGAGTGGCACCGTGTCTGTGTTTAGATATACACGCGTCTTGTGCTCCCACTACCAGCCAGCTCTCCATTCACATCTGTGCACCGCTAGTCCTTTGTGGCTGTGTGCACAGACACCGCCTGCCCCTTTCGGGAAGCCCAAGTGCATATTGTGAGTGCGCTTTGAAGTTGCTGTGTATTACCCAGCCTGAACCAACGTGCTGCCTATGCAGGCGCAGATTACACACTTGGATTAGCAAATACAGTACAACTGGGTGAGACCAGTGCTTGGGACTTAGTCAGCTTTGTGCCATTAGTACTCCTTTGTCCATCTCTAGCACCTTCCATCAGAGGATCTCAAGCTACTTTATCTTAATGAACTGAACAGCAGAGCCCTTCTGCAAAATGAGCAAGTGTTCTTATCCCTGTTGTGCACAGGAAGCTGAAGCATAGAGAAGTTAAAGTCTTGTTTGTAACTATGTGAATGCATAATTAGCTTGTGCAGCGGCAGGCGTCCTGTTTGCACATACCAGTAGTGTGCTGGGCACACCGATGGCTATTTGTGCAGCCAAACGTCCATCCGTGACTGCGGCAGAACCAGCTGTGCTGCACACGAGGGGACGGTTCGCAGATGGGCATGTAGACAGCAAACAAAAATGCAGGTCAAAGCATCCTGCCTGTGATCAGCTGCAGAACAGGAATGGATCTGGAGTGACCCGGCAACGTGGCCCTGGAGCAAACGCTGCCTCTTCCCCCTCCTGGACCCAGCTGCTGGGGAGCTGACGGGCAGCTCTGCTGGCTGAGGCCCTGTGTGCCGCTCTCGGATGTTTTGCTTCTCTTCGCCAAGTGATGCTGGCCTCCTC